ACAACTTCTATTCAACGAAAGGAGACTGCGACCACACAAAAGGCCACACCATCTTGGTCTTCATATCTACATATATATAATTTCATTTTAGTTTTTATTAATATATGTTACAATATGTTTGCAATAGATTTGTATTTGTATATCTATATATATATATTTTATTCCGTAACGTTGGCCCTATGAATTTCCTTTCAAACCTTGGTTTGTGCCTAAGCGCATCAAAAGATGCTAGTGCAATTAATATTTTTAGGAAAATTTTTTTATCGTTTCTCGAGAATGCGACTTGATTTGCCCTCAGACGTTGCTTATAAAGCACTAGCTACCAAGAAATGAAGATGAGTCATTCTACTTTCAACGTGTTATTGCGGCAGTTGTGGCGAATTTTTCAGAGAAATCTCTTCTGGTATAGTTACAATTTCCAGGTGTTGATTGAAATTGTAAAGAAAATTGACTGAGATATCCGGTGTATAGATACTTTGATTTAGATACTCAGGCTCTTCTGAGGACAGAAGGTTATAGGTACCTAATTTGTGTATCAATTCTTTTATATCGACAGTCATTTGGCCAATATGACTCATCTCACCGAAGTTTATATGTAGTTCCAAAGGAAACCGTCTCATCATATTTGTCAATCTATTTACCTTTGAGGATGTGGCAGACGCTAGGTTGGCAGTGATGCGTAGAAAGCCAGCACTAAGCTGAGTTGAACCCTGTTCTACTGTTACAGAAATGCATATGCAACGAAATATTCACCATCATCGCGTCACCATAAATATGGAACCTATAATTAGTAAAGTCTTATATATTCTCTTTTACATATCAAGTTACTATGTGTCAGATTATCTTCTGTTGCATAAACATTGTGATTGTAGAGTCCATAATTGGTGGAGGGTAAATTAAGGTTAGGCATCATCGTGAGGAGCAGATACGAGGCTGAATTTCACAAAATATCTCACCGATAGTATTATTTTTCTGTGTGATATTTTAAAAATACACAATGTTTCTGAAGTTGTACGCAGATTATAGATGATATGGTTATTGTAAAAGATGCCAGAATCCTGACATAATTATCTGTATTGCTAGATTTTAATTAGTAGCCTTGCTTGATTAACATTTTAGCACTATTTAAGATAACGCTAAGAAATGTCACCCTTTGGTGTTAAATTAAGCGATCATATTGAGTATGGCCACGTAATCCACCAAGAAATACAAATCTGCAGACGAATCCTTATGGGCAAAGAAGACAAAATCAGATATTTTTGTCGAACAAAAAATTTATTTACCAAATTAATCGAAGCTAGCAATAACTTTCAATATACACATTCTAATATTTTAGATCCTCATTCTGGACTAGGATTAAATTTTGAAGTTGGATTTTATCTTAAAAATTGGACAACCAAAATTATTTTTTTAATGAAAGTGTTATGTTATGACATTTAGGAAAGAAATGGTGCTCGGGCGCTCCGTTCGCAAAGGCCTAAAGTTAAAAAAAATACGCACAAGTGCTATTGGATCTAGAGATAAAAATTTTGTAAAGCCTATTGCAGAAAGAGGACATAAAATAGATGAGCCTATCGAATAACGTGAAATTAGTAGTCATTTAAATCAACTAATTAGGCATCACTTTTAGGAATATAAACTACTCACACGTACTTATAAGTAGTTTTCTCAGACTACAAGAAGATTTTATTTATGAAATTTATTCATTTGAGGCGATTAAGTAATGGTAGCTGAATATTCTAATAATGTTATTAGTAGGATTTAGGCTTCGATGAAATTTCACATAACCATGCTTAAAAAAATGTATTCTTATCCGGGATTGACTGCAATATCGACACCCAGCGGGACTCGAACTATGACAGGGCAGTGTATAATCTCGAAACACTAAGCACTATGCCACACTGATTCGAGTGCATTTGTGTCACAAGGCAGATGCGAATTTCAAGGAAGGACAATTATTTTCCAAAGTCACATGCTAAGCTGGGATTATCGGTAGTACGAAGTGGTATTTGCTATCATAATGGATTACATTGAGTATGTTTCATATACAAGCATAAAATCTATTTACTATATTTCATTGATGGTTAGAAAAATGCAACTGTCCGTATTAGATCACCTTAAATAAAATAGGGTGGATACATTTCACATAGAAAAACCTGTTCAGCCTTGACTCGACACTTTGGCTCGGAAAGCTAGTCAACTCATCAAAACGAATGTAGAAAATTGTATGACGAGTCGTTGAGGCTCATAACACAAAGAACTTAGGACATAAGTTTCTATTCTAGATTCCTTTGTGGTATCACTTAATTTCAACACGCCCGGACATATATAACGCACAAAAACATGCACAGACGTACTACCACATGAAGAAATCTTGTTCGGAAATGACCAAGTCGTTGTATGTCTACAGTTTGTCGAGTTGTCTTATGAGTACATATTACGAGTCCTTTATGCTCTGATGAGATCTGCCATCTGGCAAGTCAGATCAACGCCTCAACTAGACGAAATGATATCAAAAGATGAAAAAGTCACTCTTGCCTTCTAGTCAGATTGACGTAGAAACGTCTTCATCACATATTTTCATTCAAAATGAAATTCAAGTCAACAGTCGCTTCCATACTCTGGAAGTATGTCATATCTTTGGTTCTGCGCATTTTTCTATTTGGCCTGGGGCTATTTAATAGTCTAAGACACTTTTATTCAGAAAAACTGGTTAAGCCAAGTGATTGCAGCATCAGTAGACAATTTCCCTGCGATCGTTAGATCCAACCGTCTAAAAGTGACGATTAGGTGAAGAAGAGGCCCATTTTTCTGATGCATTTCAATGAATGATGCATTCAAAATTTGCATTAATGGCTAGAATTGACAATATTGCCAAACTTACCCAAAGCTAGTTACTAGCAATCACTTAATTTCCATCAGAATTGACAATTATTTAACTCTCTAATAGCGATACTAACTAGCAATAATGGGCATTTATAAACATGTTGACAACACCTATCTTATGATTAAGTTATCTGGTAGTAAAAAATTCGCTTATTGTCAGAATTTTTCATAATTATCCAACACAGCATTTATTTTTTAGCCATCACTTTTATAAGCGATCTGATCATATTCACATAATCGCTATTCTATCAGTCCAGCCAGACTGTATTGAATAGTAAATTTTAATATATCAAAAAAATGTTCCTTTTAATGCAATTATTCATTTCAGACCGTGACGGGTAATTTTAAATGTCTATTTATGAGATTATCACTAATTGGCCATTTGTTATTAATCGATATATTGCATAATTATTTACTAGTTATTTCAACGGAATTAGAAAGAATGAGCCAAGTTCATCTATTTATTAGCATAAGTAGAACTTTAACAATAACAATCAAGCCATTCTACTGGAAATCAATCTAATTTACTATAATAATGGAGGTGAAAAGCATAAAAAGAAGTGAAAGGTTGCTAATCAGCAGAGAATTGGCGAAATTAGCGTGTTTTTTTTCTCATGGCAACGTGAAAGATAACAAGGTAAAAAGATAGCATTTCATAAGTTGCCCAGAACAGGGATTCCAAAGCTCTCATAATAGGAACGAATAATAAAAGGTCAAATTCCGAATTATTTATTCTATTTGGCGTAATTGAAATCAACAAGGATAGCTCATAGGTTGAAGCCTACGATCCCAATTGAGTTCATGTCTGTTGCAACATTAAGCCTAAGCAATATCCTTAATGAAGTGATAGCGCAAAATGCAAGATTACATGTTCCAGAAGTGGAAGAAACAAAAGCGTCAAAGAACACATCTCGAGCCAAAGGAACTTGTAAAAGTTTTGTCGAGATTAGCCAAGCCGGTGAGAGTTATTACGATTGCGATTGAACAAAAATAATTGAATTTTAATCTGAATGACCTAAAATTGCAGAAATTGCTGTAAAAGTCCACAACGTCCTGACGGAAAAGTTGCATAGGAAACGTGAAGAAACGAACTGGAAATTAGTCGCAAATGTTGAGTGACGTTAAGGCGGCACCAATATTTATCAGAATTTGGGAAAAAAAATTAGTATCCACGCCATTGGATTGCCGTCCTGACGCAAGATAGTTGGGCTGTAGGAAAGTTGTTGACAATGAATTGTTGTCCCGACGACACGAGATAAAATGTTTCAGGCCCTGCACGTTGACTGTGCGTGTGTGTATGCTTGTGCGTGTGCGCGTGCGCGTGGGCACGATCAACAACTCGCGATTGCAGGTACAGTTTAGCCGCTATGCCAACAGTTGGATGTCATGGTTGACATCCCGATCCCTGTTCACTTGCACAATCAAGCAAGATTACATGTTTTCATGAAGAATTCAACTTCCTTTCGCCTCACGATAGCTGGTTCTTTGCTCAGGCGAATGATGACTGGCCGGCGGAAGAGACGCTTTCCCACTTCCTGTCGCCCCGGCAACTGAACCACCACCTCCGCCGCCAGCTACAGCTGAACCCCCACCACCGCTGCTGCCGCCACCAGACGGCCCAGAACCAGTTGCCATGCCGCCAAGCATGAGCATAGCCGGCGCTCCCTGTCCCTGTGGTCCGGCGTGGTAACCACGTGTCATAATCATACCGGAGCCTTTAGAGTTGTTGCCAGGGCAAGCGTCGATAACGTCGTAAGAATGCATTCCACCGCAGAGACCGTTGCATGACATCTCGTGGGAGTGTTGATGTCCCATCATCATACCCATGCCACACCCCCCCGCCGATCCTCCCGAATAGAGCTGTGAAGC